CTGGGCTGCCTTGGCCGGAGCAAGGCATGCGGGCCGAGGCCGTGCCGTGGCATGCGGGCCGAGGCCGTGCTTTGGCTGGCCTGCCTTGGCCGTGGCATGGCTGGCCGATAAGGCCCTCAATTTAATTCCAAAGCGGATTATTCAAACAGATATTCCTACGGTGAACAGGTAGAATTCCAAAGTCGCATATATTCACATAATGGCACACAAAAATCATATCAAAACATATAGTCACATACGTATTAGGGACCAATTAGCATACTACGGAACAGGGGTATTACATGCCGGGTGGGCTCCGCGTCTGCTATCTCTAGCACTGTGGCTCTATGTCTACTTTGGTGTTGGGCCCACGGTTTTAATGGGCCACAATGTTTTGGGTTTATTTCTAGTTAAAAAAGTGGGTTGTTTTTTAGGGGCCCATTTGTTTTTTGGCTTGGGTTTTTAATGGTAGTTTTTGTTCATTCGCGGACAGTGTTTTAATTAGTTTTTTTTTTTGTTGCTATTTTGCCCATATATCTTCCCCAAGTGTCCTTCTATTATCTTTGATGACAGGGGTTGTTTGGGGATAAAAATGATATATGGGCAATTTTGAGTTTTTATTTTCTGTTTTAGCTACCCCTTCTTTGGGGCACGAGATCATGTTGTCTTACCTGGGGTATGCCCTTTGTAAATGTGTAATTTTTTGTCTTTAATTTATGACTTGCCCACCCCAAAAAAAAAAGAAAACAAAAAGAAAGAGAAGTAGGAAGAAAATCAAAGGAAATTCAAATTCATCCTTTTGTACTTGAGAATTGAACACTTAGGTGATTTAGATGCTTAAGTCAAATTAATATCGTTAAGCTACAGTTGCTCTGACAATTCCCTTTCTTAGTGGCTATGCAAGGTTAGTTTGAGTTAAACTTGGCCACTTAAGCTAACCAGATCGTAGAACAAAACAGAGAAGGATGGAGAATGGCAGAGAAAGAGAGAAACATTTTGCTTGAGAGCTAGAGGAGAAAGTTGTAGAAAAGAAACAGAAATAGGAATAAAATCAAAAGGAATTCAAATTCATCCTTTTGGACTTGTGAATTGAACGATTAGGTGATTTAGAGCACCTTAAATAAGGCGTTGAATTAAACTTGGCCACTTAAGAACAAGTATGGTTAAGTTAGAGAGAAAGGCTCTTCTTGAGAGGTGGAAGAGAAAGTTAGAGAAATGAAAGAGAAAGATGAAGAAAAACAAAGGGAATTCAAATTCATCCTTTTGGAGTTGAGAATTGAACACTTAGGCAATTTTGAAAACCTTAAATGAGGTGCATAAGTTAAACTCTTATTATGGTTAAGCTAAAATTACTCAAAAAATTATCATTCTAAGAGGACCAAGCAAGGTTTGTTTGAGTTAAAATTTGGCCACTTAAGCTAATGAAACAATTGCTGGCCTAAGCTAATTAGTTCGTAGAACAAAGTAGAGAAGGATGCAGAACGGCGGAGAAAGTTAGAGAGAAAGATTTTGCTCCAGACCTAGAAGAGAAAGTTGTAGAAAAGAAAGAGAAATAGGAAGAAAATCAAAGGAAATTCAAATTCACCCTTTTGAACTTGTGAATTGAACACGTAGGCGGATTAGAAAATCTTAAATGGGGTGCTTAGGTTAAACTCATATCGTTAACCTAAAGTTACTGAGAAAATTC